GCGGCTACAATATGGCTCCGCGCCGTATTGTTGCGAGCTGTACGGCTTTACCTCGAATTGCGCGAATTCGTCTAACCTACTTCCCGAGGCAATTCGAGTGCGATTCTTCGCGCGGGACAAATGAGACCGTGATTTTATCGTCGGGACGTCGATATCACTTGAGGAAGATTCCACGACAAGGAATCTCGTCGACTAACTACATAGCTCAGAGTTATGTAGGTCTTTTTAACCCTTGAACAAGGATGAAAGTGTGGGATATAAACTACAAGATGGGGTCATGTACATTTATTTTTACTTAATTTTATTTTGCATATTAAAATTTACAGTAAAATAAACAACGATTTAACAAGAACAAATTTTTCTATTCATATACCTAATATTCTCTTATTTAGTCTTTTTCTGCTGTATATTAAAATTTATATTAGGATAAATAAACAGCGGTTTAACAAGAACAGATTTTTCTATTGCATACAAATACTTTTTCAGCATAGTATCCGGCGCGAAAGTATCGCAAAGTTTGAATAGATTGCATTGGAAAATATATCACGAATAAAATCATCGTTGGCCCTGTCTTGTCGTATGAGGATTAATTAAATAGCGACAATTCTTCTTTATTAATTTTTATATATATATATATATATTTTTTTTTTACTATATTTCGCGATAAGAGGATGAGCCGCGCATAAAGGTGATGCCTTTTTGCCCGTCTAATGGCGGGAATTCTAAATCTCTCCGCATTATGTTTAATACATCGTCATTACGTTCAGCAATGTACTTCGCGTTTGTGTACGTGTGCGGCACGTTAAATCCGCACGTTAATATGATAATTAGGATATCTAATATCGCGCGCATATATTCAAGCGAGAATTTGTGCAGATGCACGAGGAGCGCGCGACATATTCAGCAGGTTACGAGAAGGGTGGCGAGGATTTCATATTTCGGGCGGAGTTCGACCTCTTTACAGTCTCTTTCGACGCGGAGCGACATACGTTCGCGCGAAAGCGTATAACCGCGCCCGCGCGACAACGAAAACGACGAAGGACCTGCCGCCGTCCTCCCTCCAAACCTTTTTCTTTTCCCGATTCGCGATCGCGTTACATGGTTCTGGAATCTTTCCAAGGAACCGGGCTTCGTGATTTTTAGAGCGAAGATTGGGGCGAAAAGTGTATGCAAAGTACCTCCGGATTTTCCCGAGATTCCCGCTGCGTTTTCGGGCTTCGTGTTACCATCTAGGTAATATCGACTTGACACAGTCACTCGCTATTGTCATGTCGCGATTTCTCGAGAGTTGCACGCTATTCAAAAAGCATGGAGACTCTAAAGTTGACAGAGAAGAGAAGATGAAAAGAGCGAAAATGTTTTCGATAATTTGCGCGCAGACGACCTATTAGTAGAAAAAACTAAAACATAAAGTGACCCGCGGACGAAAAGAGGATTCCGCAACGACAATCGTCGATATAATCCGCGACAAAAATATAATTTGTTGCTTTCCGGAGTCCAGGCGTGTGATTATTTTGAAATAAAAAGTCGGGTATTTTATACTCAGCGCGCATTCTAACACCAAACGGGATATTAATTCAATGATTTTTATTAATTTGTGGATTATGTATCAACGGGAAATACACAACGGTGCGACGAAAGTGCTAAGCTACTTTGTAATATTATAGCAGGGCAACCTGGTCTAAAATGGACTATATAATTGACCTGCAGCATATCTCACTTTAATAAGCAGTTATTCAAGTAAAAACAATTAAAGAAATATCGGACATTTTTATTATATCAAAATATTAAACATTTCAATAATTAAATATTAACTATTAAATATTAAATATTAAACATTTTATTATATCAAAATATTAAACATTTCAATAGTTAAATATTAACTATTAAATATTAAATATTAAACATTTTATTATATCAAAATATTAAACATTTCAATAGTTAAATATTAACTATTAAATATTAAATATTAAACATTTTATTATATCAAAATATTAAACATTTTCAAGATCATAAGTATAAAAAAAAAATATATATTTTACAGAACTGGCTAGTATGCTGTGACTTGTTTAAAATGGCGCAGAGGTAATACCATTTTACACAAAATTTCTCCTACAATGAAAAGAATGAAAAGAGAATTCTAGAAATTAAATAAAGAAAACACAAAAACACAAACTTCTAAAAAGCTAAATCTAGGACAGCTACCATGCGTCAATATTTTGTTGCCAGCAGTGTTGCCAACTTAACAATAGAGATACGTTCAGAAAAGTACTATATTACACTTCGTTTTTCTGTTAGACTCGGTGTGCCGGGTTTTATCACGGTGTGCCATTTTAAAGCAGGTTTTCCTACGATTTGCGCAGAGTGTATCGGATACATTCAGTTTCTATCGCTATTTTCACAGTCTTACCGATTTGTTGTCAAGAAAGCCGATGTATACTCCAACGTAAATGTTAGAAAAATAGAATAATACGAGCATAAATAAGATCTATGCGCACGATGCTCCTTGGCGCTTGCCGGTCTAATTTTATATATTTAGTTAACAAACTGGAAAAGAACGCAGCTTCGGCTCCATTATTAAATCTCCCGGTATTATTAAATTTTCCGTCATGCCTGCGCCGTTTTACTCGGCAGCTCTGCAGGTGCCGCGCCCGCGCTATATTTTATTATATTAAATCATACCGGAGATACAATTACAATTTCTGTCTTTAGAAGGCTTTGCACGTTTCCTCTTATTCAGCGACCTATTTCGAGAACGTCCCTACCATCCGTCTTGGCAAGGCCGACAGTACGAGAAAATTTAATGAACGTGACTAGATCTTATCGAAGCACGGCGAGAGTATGGCGGAGAAGTCAACCCGGAGACCGGGGAGAGATTGGCACCGCGCGTCGGTTTATACAAGGCGGACTGCGAGAGTGACTTTTACGAATTTTCCCGACGTTTGCGCCGAAAAGTAATCGGATGTAGTCCGTCTTGTTATTTTACGTTTCTCTCTTTCTCTCTCTCTCTGCCTCTCTCTCGTTACGGGCGCGAGAATCACCTCACCTCAAGAGTTTTTCAAAATTATTATCGCCACTGTTTGCACGCGGTGAATTTTCTACGAGGCGTTTCCCTTCTTTTACCTCTTTGTTTTTCCGGACGGCACTTTTTCATCGCGAGTTTACGTGCAACTTTAGAACTCTCTGCCCGCGATTTACGATTTAGCGCCGATATCTTAATGAATGGGGTAAACTGGTGCTTCGCTGCTTTCACGGCGATTCCGCGCGGAAAAGGAAAGAGGGAAATTAAGAAAAAGGAAAAAAACAAGAAAAGCAGGATGCAACGAGTCCCAGATGAGTATCGAGCGCGGAGAACGTGAGGTAACCGAATTTGCGGACGTCTACTTTCGCGTCTACGTCTCTCACGAGAATTCTTCGGATACCGGACGATTTGCATCGTTAGATTTTAATTACGCATAAGTTCCGGGCGCATTAAGAGCTGGGCCAACGGTTAGTTGGCGAGGGAGGGGGAAAGAAAGAGGGAGAGGGAATAGACAGGAAGGAAGAGGCAAAAGAGAGCAAGGGCGAGATAAAAAGCTGAGTTTCAAGTACATTAAAGCATCTCGCGGGTTTCCTAGGAGATTCGACGTAGACAAACGGTCGGATTACTTCTCTCGCGAAGCGAGAAGCGCAGCCGGGTAGAACAGCCAACTACCTACCTATCTACCTACCTTTTTCGTTTGCAAAGGCAAGCCCGGTCGAGGGACCGGGGCTTAATCAGTTGTTAGCCCAGTCCGGTCAATTGAAAAGTTGGCGAAAATTAAAGCGAGCTTCGAAGGGCGACCCGGTGGACACGGAGTCTCCCGAGGTTCTCGCGTTTCGCGCGAGCAGTTAAACTGCGTCTCGCAGCGTGAGAGAAAGAGGGGGAGAGATGAGAAAATGGTAGAAGGAGTCGCAACGATGGCGGGAAGTTACGCGAGCGTACCGACGAGCGACCGTCGTAAAACCGGCCAGTTCGCGACGGGCGACGCCGTGCTCGCTGTAAATTGCGGCCCTCATATGTCGCGCTTCTCCTCCCCGCTGTGTGGCATCGCGTAAAAAGTCCGCCGCACACGGGTGACTTTAATTTACGCCCGCCGGCGACACGATAGCACGTCTGAGACCAAAAACTGTTCCGCGTGCGCGGCCGCGCATTTGGTAAATCTGATTAAATGCGACATTGCTCGCGCCACTAAATTGCCCGCTCGAGACGTTAACGTTAGATCCGCGATACACTGTATTGCTCTTTCTCTCTCCCTCTACTATTTCTCGTTGCGCCTCGCAACACTTATGTCCGAGGAGGCCATGTTAGCTGACGCACTGGTGTGATCGCCATTGTGACATTGCCGCGCGTCCACGGACTTCTATATAGGGTGTTCCAGACTCCGCATATTTGGTAAGAATGTAGAACGGAGGTGAACATAAAAGTCCTATATCGTTTTGCGATATTCGCAATAATAATCGAGAAATTAATTGTAAAATATTAAGGAAAAACGCACGCTGAATAGTTGAAGGTATAAATAAATATGTGGAAGAGAGTTTGGGACACCCTGTGCCACAGTTATGCAAGAATCCAACAAAATTACGATTTTTGAGTTTTGATTACAAAATGGGTAATCTATACGTTCTTATACATAAAATAAAAAAAATATTCCAACTTAGAATTAATTGAAAAACGGTTTCTTTTTTCTAGTAGTTACGTCTTTCTCATTCATTTTTTAAAGGTTCAGCTCGTCAAGGGCTGACAGCCAAAATTAATAGCGAAATTATCGGAGTTCGTTGTGATTATCGTCGCGTTTTAAACACGCGAATGTCCTTTCTTTCGACGAATGTTCGTCTCCTCGATATTTCTCACTTGAGAAATAACGTCGAACTACCATCCTTTTCGCGCGCTGCAATAATCGCTCGCGTTCGAGTGAATTTTTCAATGTTACGAGATTGTCACTAATTGAAACCGGTTACCGGCTGGTTCCTTGTTACAGAGGCACCTCGTGGAACGTATCTGCTGATAGATGGTCGCCGGCTGGATCCCGGGAACCAGTTCGTGCCGGTGAAGGAGGGCTCGGAGCTTATCCTCGAGTGCGCGGCCGAGGGTGGAAATCCGCCGCCCATTTTGGCGTGGGGCATGACCTTGTCTCAAGCCACTTTAGACGGTCCGGAACAACCGCCGGACAATCTCACAGTGTCGCCCTCGACATCCGGCGGCAGCAGCAGAGCTCACCTTAAGGTCTTACGTGGACATCACAACGCCACCATAGCCTGCGTCGCGCGCCACATCACGCTGACGGTGCCGATGAACGCCAGCATCCTGCTCGACGTTCAATGTGAGTACCAATCAACATTACGCAGTCGCGTCGACTCATATTCTCACACATTCACCGTACTTGTGCTCTGGCGAAAAAAATTCCGTTCTCTCTCGCACACGTTTCCCTCTGGAAACGATAAATTTAGAGCCTACATCTTCCTTTGAATATATGGAAGTATCGGGAAAAATCGTCATCTCTCGTTGTTTCTCAATTTTCTTGATTAATTTTCTCGCTGGGTAAATCTGAAACAAAGCTTCGACCAAGAAGTGAAGTCGACCTGAAACTAATTAAGGAACGACCTCTACTTGAAATCTTGACTCTACGTTAATCTTGCAAGTTCCGTGGAAAGACCAACCCGTGCAAAGTACACGTGAAAATAAATCATCGCGGGGAGCGCCTTTTTTTATGTCTTTTTGAAATTTTCATTTGGTATATGCATGCAATTAGATTTGATGTCGCGCGGGACCACCAGTCGACGTATGAAGGCAGACACGCTGCCCACGAAAATAAGAAAAACATAATACGCATTTATCATACATATGCATGAACGTAAATTGCTTTTTGAGACAGACCGAGCGCGAAATAATTCCGCGCCGGCGCTCTTACTGAGAAGTCGGGCGTGCGAGGCGGACAGGAGCGATTTCCGCGATATTAGACCTAGTTGCGCCAGCATCCCGGATGCGAGTAACACGTGTGTCGGCGCGGAGGACGGTAGACAGTCCGTCCATGTGTGTGCCCATCGAAACTGAAATATAAACTTAATTAAGTCTGAATCCGGGGGCGTGCGTGCCTCGCGACTCGCTTAAGCGAGTCCGCCATCCGAGAAGGAGAGCGAGCGCGGGGCCTCGCGTTATATTTGAGGCGCGACGACCGTGTTACAAGAGCGTTCCGGCCAAAGGGGACAGAGGCGAGGCAGGGGGCGAGAGAGGATGCGCTGACGACGGCGTCGAGGAGCTCGGGGGTGGCTCGAGGTAACGTCGTGTATTATGCGACGCGGAGGTAGTTTATTTTGCGCCGTTGCGCCTCTTTCGCCACTCTCGCAGCCAGCGGCCGCGGTTAGTCGGCAAGTCTCCTCCCCGACTCCGTCCCATCGGGGGTGGCCCCGAGAGTTGCCGAAGGAGCTCCTCTTCAGCCGGTTTCGAGGCAAACTCCGAGGGATTAACTACGCCGCGCGGACAAAAACCGGCGAAAGCGTGCCGAGGGCTCGCTCTCTCCCTCCCTCGCCACGCTGCTGCTGCGCCCTTTTTACTCCGCGTCGTCTCTTCGGGTGTTTAGGAGAGGCTCGTCGAGGCGAGACCGCGAAGATATATCACCCGAAACTGGTTTCCTCCTACTCTTCTTCCGGCGACGAACTTCCCGCTCGTCTCTTCCCGCCAGCCACCGCGCCGCTGGACGTGCTGGGGCGCGCGTCGTTCGCAGCTTCTGCGCTTGATCGGAATCTCCCTAATTAAAAATAGCTGAGTCACGGTTTTCGTAAAGGTCACGTTGAGTAAATGTCAGCTTGTAGAGTGTGGGCCACAAGTAATTGAAAAATATTTTCTTTCAGCCAAAGATGCGTATATAGATGACAAATTGTGTCATTTGTCAAACGTCCGTGGACACATTTAATATGTCCAGGATAACAAAATGCCTGCATCAATGTCGATGTTACTTGATTTCCTTGAGAATCATGTTCTCTACTATAGTTCTCTACTATAGTGTATATTTTTTAAATACCAAAGGGAGATTATTCCTCTGTTGATAAAATTATAATACCCGTGTACAAGCTTCTTGTCTTGGTTTTGTTTTTCGGTTAATTAATTTTGATCTCGAGTATTAACGAAAGCTGAAATCATATTTTCCCGATAACGACTTGTCGCGACTCTGGTCGCCTGGTCATTATTATGGCTCCGAATGACAATCTAAAACGCGACGGTACTTCACTTAAACTAATCTCCTGCAAGGGAGAACATTATATCCGATTTTAGAGGGACCGCGCGAATGTCTGTATTATTCTCCGAGGAGCGATGTCGCGCTGCAGTTAGCCATAGTTTGGGAAACCCTGCTCTAGATTATACGCTTAACCGGGACTGTGCCTCGAGCCTCGTCGTCGTGGACAGTTCTTCTTCGTGGTGAGTGCAAGGGGAACCCATTGTGCGCCGACATTATTTCGCTCCTTTAATCCTTTCACGCCTGTCCGAGCGCCGCGCCGTCCGGTAGCCCGAGGCTAAACGAGCTCCTCGAGAACTTGCTCCACAAAGGGGAAAGTTCAGCGCGAATCGTTTAGCCACCGGGGAAAAAGCCACAAGATATCCCGGGACACGTGAATTTTCAGTCGGGATTTCCAAGGTCACCGTCAGTTATCCATCGCGGTTAATGTCGCTCTTTAATCGTGAATTTTAATGCGATCGTCCTTCGCTCGGTTTTCAACAGTCCACGTTGACATGTATCCGGATAACACGTGAATTTCTGCGACAGCCTCGTCATTTCCTTTTGCGGGTGACGGTTTTATTTGTCTGATTACACAGAAAGAATATTATAATTCTTTTTTTAATATAAATTCTTTTCAATTTTACTAGGTTTTTAGTTCATCAGTAGTATTTCCCGTTAACTAAACGTACCCAAAAGTTACACTCCGATTTCTTTCTGATTTGAAACAAATGTAGAAGTGCAAAAAATATTTAGGTCATATTTTTTCATTTTGGCTCACTTTGAGTTTCACGGGCAGCTTTTTGTAGCTTTTTAATATTCTCACTCCTATCATCAACAAGTACAACAAAAATGCATAAGAAATAAAATTGAATACAAGATATAGTTAAATAATTCTAACAAAATCGGCATAGCTGAGACACGAATTATTCTAAATTTCTTTAGTCGAGATTCTAACTAAAATATTTCAAATTTGTGCTAAATTAGTCAAAAAATGGCTCAAATCTCGGCCAAACTGAGAAAGAGAAAGAGAGAAAGAGAAATCCGGCAATTTTAATTAAAATTTTAACAAAATTGGTATAGCTGAGACACAAAATTCTAAATTTCTAAATTTCCATTCTAAATTTCTTTAGCCGAGATTCCAACCGAAATATTTTAAATCTGTGCTAAATTAGTCAAAAATGGTTCGAATCTCGGCCAAACCGAGAGAGAAATTCGGTAATATTAATTAAAATTTTAATAAAATCAGTATAACTGAGACACGAACCTAAATATTTTTGTGCTTCTAAATTTGTGCCAAATTGGAAAGAAATCAGAGTGTATTTTTTGGGTAGGTTTACTTGTAAGTAACATGATAAATTTCGCTGAAAACAACAAATGTTTTAATAGTACATTTCAGTTGCTAAGGTATGATGAGCGCATACGATATATAAGGATAATGAATTACTGCAGAATGTGTGTCGATCTGTTCCGCGACAGAGTCCTACGGAATCTGTAGCGACTTTTCACTATAAAATTCTTTCCGTTTGCTGCGAAATGACTTTGCCGTAAGCAAAGTTTTGCATCTAATTGAGTGCATGTCGCGTGGACGGTGATGTATTAATTCGTTTGCCTGATTCATTCCTTCATTGATCTCCTGTCGTATCTCCTATTTATTTAATATCTTTCGCGAACTTCTCTCTTGCCTTATTTTTCTTGGTCTTGGGAAACCTGCCGCGTATCTCGTCGCATTTGCACCGGAACGGGTACCTAATTCCAAAGGCGATACGGGCGCGGGCAATCAGGCTGAACGTCTCGGAGATGCAAATTTTCTAGACGAACAGCTTGCACGCCCGTCGTCTTAGAAGGGAAAGGATGCGGGTGTCTTACGAATGATAGTGACGCCGTACGGGTCGGTTGTGCATTCTCTCTCTCTTTCTTCCTCTCTCTTTCTCTTTCACTGGGCCTCTTCCTTCCTCCCTTATTTTTGTCGCGAATTTATTCCAGTCGTACTTACGTCCTCGGACAGGACAGAGGAGGTACATTTGTCGGCACCTGAGCGAGCAAATTTTCCGGTAGGATGAACGCCAAAGGCTTCCGGGCGATGTCCTGGACGCCTTTATGACGTCGGAGGGGCGAGAGAGGGAGGCAAGGGGGAGGTAAGAGAAGGGGTCGAGAGATGACCCACTTTCCATATCGCGCCGGCGCATCGCCGTTTGTCATTACGCGTAATGCAGGCTATTACCGGTTGTCATCGCCGGGCTCCATATCGAATAAATGATTTTACTTTTAAATCGGCTCGCCGACGCGATTAATCATCGCGGCGCGCTCGCCGCCGCCGTCGCCGCCGTCGTTCGCGGTCGCTATTTTGCATAAGTTCGCCGTGCCGCTCGGAGTTTTCGATTTGTACTTCGCCGGCGGTGGCGAACGTCGGCCGGAAAACGCGATCGGATTCGGCATAAATCACGATGATTTTTGGCGACAGTCGTTATTTGCAGCTGACCCGAATATGCGCCGGGGCAGCCTCCGGAACGATTCTCCTGGTCCGGCGCGCTATGAATATGTAGCGCGCATAGCCGTAAAATTCTAACCGCGCTGTGCTCGCGGACACACGAGCGGCGGCCACGGCCTCGTCTCGGCTCTAATCGATCTACGCGGCGCGCACTCTCGCTTCGTTAACCCGACTGTTCGCGCCGGGAATTATGAACACCAGCCTCGAGCAAAAACACCACGCGGTGATTATCTCGTTCCGCGACTTCATGTCCCGGACAAGGACGCTGAGACACTTTGAGCGCTCAGGTCTTGTGGGATTCGTCCGATACGATTTGTTTTCGTGTATGAAAGCTGTCTTGAAAATTCATCGCACACATCGCATTGTCATTCGCTGCGGATATATTTATGACTTTGTGGAGTGACGTGACATTTGGCAAATCAGGGAGTCGATTGTGCATCACACACAAGTTGGTGACAATCACAAAATTGAACGAATTCGCTTGGAATATTTCGTCGGTCACCGCCTGGTGCATTTGCTCACTTTTGTAATTTGATGGTACCATATGATGATATGTCGCTTTAATATACGATTGGCCCTCTGCTCCTTTCCGAATCGAACGCAAGATGTTCAATTTTCA